CTTGGTTTAAGTAAGTTTTTTTACTCAAGGTGGTACTGTTTTTCTATAATAGTGAGATAGGTGTAATTCGTCTAATTTTTGGGGGATCAGTTTATTTTCTATCAACAACACGTCATTTGATTCATCCATGTTCATCAATACGAACATCGGGACATGCATTCGTAGGTCATTACCAGTGCGTCTTCGAGAAGGTGCCATAAATGTAGATGCTGCAATCTGAGCTGATCTCACCACTGGAGTACGGTTTGAGCTACAGTAGTACAAAAAACTGTCTCACAAAACTTACATCGACGATAACATCCCCAATAACTACAGTATTTAAAAAAATTAAAAATGCTCCTAGAAGAGGGATGTTATTAACACGTTACACAGTAGTTAAACGTTTTTGCCAGAGTTACATGCACTACAAACATAGAAAATGTCTTTTTCAGAGGAAATTGTTTTTGGGTATGGGGTTTTACGGACACTTCTTCTGGCTTCCAAATCCCGGCTTTGCCCCAAACTTTTTTTTTCATCCAATTGGGACTTCGGTAGCCATATGCTATAAAAATCCCATCTAAAAAACGTGTTTTCCCCCAGCATTGTTTTACTGTTATTTTCGTATTATTTCTACTTGCAATGCCTAAAAAACTTAGCCAAGACACCCGAAACAACGTGAAGTCCCTTATTGCTAGTGGAAAAACAACTAAGCAAATAGTTGAAGCAACAGGAGTATCCCGAGCTTAAATTATTCGAATGAAAAATGTGAATGGTCCTGATCGCAATGTAATGGTGGCCGACCAAGTCTGATTCCTAAGAGAACCAAACAAGTACTTAGTTTTAAAGTTCGAAGGGGTTATCTAGCTACAGCTAAGGATGTTCAGAAGTATTTGCAAGAGATTGGTTACAATTACGGCTATTCTTCGACCACTTACTGAATGAGATCTCTTGATCGTAAATCATCATTCAAGAAAAAAAAACCATTCATTAGCAATGTCAATAGAAAAAAAAAGATTTCGTTGGGCTAAAGAACATAAAGACTGGAAAGTAAATGATTGGAAAAAGGTTATCGACTCGGACTAGACAAAAGTAAACAGATGGGGATCTGATGGAGCTCAAATTACTTGGAAACATAAAGATGACTTATTGCAGCCTCATAATATTCAAACAAGATTGAAAGGTGCTTGCGGCTCTATAATGGTCTGGCGATGTATGACATCACTTGGAGTAGGCTACGCATGCTGCATAGTGGAGTACCCAATGAATTCCGAGCTGTATACTCAAATTCTGGGCACAACATACAAGGACACAATTGATTATTACTGATTAAGCGGTACGGATGTGTTTTTCCAACAAGACGGAGATCCCAAGCACACCTCCAAATTTACAAAGCAATGGTTGGAAACAAATAAAATCAACTATATTCGAGACTGGCCACCCAATAGTCCCGACTTGAACCCCATCGAACACCTTTGACACCACATAAAAGTTATTTTAGACAGCTATTTGACTAAGCCAAGGAATATAGATGGATTGTGTGACCGCTTCAAAAAGGAATGGAATGGCTTCACTTTGGAGGATATGCAAAGATATTACAAAAGTATTCCCAAAAGAATCGAGGCAGTTATTAAAGCAAAAGGTGGTTATACAAAATATTAAAGTAAACATCGTTCCTCTTCTTTTGACCTAGAAGTAACATTTTTGTGATTGTTTACATGTTGCCTTAAATAGCATAGCTCAAATTACCAAGATAAATCATTAACTGTCATTAACAACACCTCCTTAAAATTTGGAATCCGTATCATTGTTTTTCGCCATATGATATTAATTTTAGTTTTTGTGAGACAGTTTTTAGCACTACTGTATAAGTTATGTTAGTTGTCGTGTTATTTGTTATGTTATGTTGAAAAGAAGCGTAAAGAACAATATTATTTCAGTTTGGATCTGCATTCATAATTAGAATAATTTTTACACATAATAAATTTGTCACGGTTAAAAAAAGTTTAATCCTTTCATCCTTCTTTTTTTTTTATTCTTGTCGTGATCGAGGCTTTATACTTAATATATGACTCTATCTACACTTCTTACCTTCCATTTGATAATCCTAAATATAATTCTTATTGATACTGTTATATTAAATACTGAACATTTACTTTATTTACAGGCTTGATCTCATATCATCCTTCATACAAGTATAAGACATAAATTTAAACAATAACATTGATATGAAAACATATAAAGGTTACATCAGCCACATTGAGATGCCACAGCTATCTGAATTAAGAACTACATTTTCCCCTGAATATTGTGCTACAAGACATACACAGTTTAAGAATGAATGTTATTGTTATTTTTATTGACATCTCATTATAGCCTTTCTATATGGGGTCATTACATCCGAGTATTGTCTGGATGAATCTACCCACAACCGTCATCAGCCCATCTGTGATCAATATCTGAAATAATGTGTATATAAAGACCCCCTTTTATTGTTTAATAAAGTTTTAGTTCATTTTTGCAATTTTGATAATTGTCTTGTTTTTATTTTATAAATCTTCAGCGATTTCCACAATTCTAACTCTTTTATGATCTTTTTTTTTCCTTTTTTTTTTTTTTTTTTTTTTTTTTTTGGTAATTGATAACCTTTTATTATAGTAGTGTTAAAATGCCAGCTAAAATTATATCTTGCATAGCGCCTATTTGAAAGAGTTGACCAGCCAAGGCCTACATATAACCCTATGGTAAGAATCTTAAAAAATGCCACGCCTCTGATGCCATACTAATCGTCTTCCTGCCTTAGTTTCTACTACAGGTCTTCTTTCTCTACTCTGGTATAATGCATTGTCTCCTTTTTCTTGGTCTTAATCCCGTTTGATGCATCTCTCTTAAAGAAATGACCGATTCTTCTCTCTCTTTCAGAGTAATTTGGTTTTAATATAAACAAACGGAACAAGATAAGCATTCCTTCCTAAAAATGCTAAAGACTGACAAGCAGCTTTTATAGATGCCTGAAAAACTCTGTTTACGGCTGTAGTTCTGGCACGTCTGGCATAGGTATGGTTCCCTAATACACCACAAATATAAGGGGTTGGGTCAACATGAGAATAGGTAAAAATAGAAAATCTAGTAACGAAGAAAGGTTTTAGGCTGCGAAATCTTTATCTATAATGAAATAAACAATGCTATTGCTTTTACAGCCCGATATCGTTAAAGTATAAGTACCACAGATTCAGTTAATCCTATTAAATGTTTGTTTTTAGTTGGTTATACTTTACTGCTACCATCTTAATTCCCGCCTATTTATTGATCATATAACTGCCTCTTTTGACTACTTTGCGACTTTATTCAGGGTCAGCGTTATACGACGCTGTCTCGCTTATAAAACATGTTGTCTTTAAAATATATTGCCGAGCTAACCGTCATCTTCTAGCCCCGTTTTCCATTCCGCTTAAATATTACCGTAGCCCCGAAATTTATATGGGATGACTGCCAGGAACTATAAACGTATGCTCGCCTCATGATTGTTAGTTTTGTAGTCCTGCTGATGAGTCTCTGTCCCACTATCTTTAATGCACCATTAGCTTTCTTTAGTAACCATATCTACGCAACGCTGCTTATTACTTGTTTAGTGTATTTAACGTGAACACGATGGATACAAAACGATACACTCGTTCACTTCCCCTGATAATTACAGGATCCTAAAAAAGCACATGACAACGTAAGGTTTATTATTTGAAATGCGTAAGTATATGTAGTTTGTGTTTTTTTTACATCATAAAAAGGTTTACATCCCCGAAATCCTAATATTAAACCCATTTGAGTTCATGTTTTTCTATAATTTCATCCCATGATTGTACAGCATATCCGAATATATGCTACAATTAATCCATTATTAAAAATAAAATCCTCGTCATCTTGATTCGTAAAGCGAATGATGTTCGATCTTTTATAACATATAACGAATATCAATTCAGTCATAGTTGAGCTATAATCTGAATCATCAAAGACGCAGTCATTATCATGTCCCCATCCATAAAGTTTAGTCCAATGACACCATGCTATACATCCGGGCATTATGGTTATAATTGGTCTAAGATAGGCTGCTTATTAAATTATTACTGCATGAACATGGTACTGTTTTGAACTTTATTACAACAAATTGACGGTGGATTGGTTAAGGTATTAGACGGTATGCAATTGTGCCCGCATTATAATAAATGGCGGGCCAAAGCCGGAGTCCCATCTATTTGTATATTTAACAGAGTCCTGTTATGATCCGTCAAAATAAGTATTTACACAGTCATAACCGGTACGAGGGGTTTTCAAAAAAAGTACGAGTGTTATCAGAACTCAATAAGTTTATTCGAAGGATAATTGAATCTTAGGTGAACATTTTATGTTGCTTATATTTAAGTGTATTTTCTTGTGGCTTATATTTAGGTGTATTTTTTTGTAAACTATAATTTTGTGACTAATATATTTCAGTGACGTTTCTACGAAAATCGTCACTTTTTTTTAGTTTAGATGTTAGAAATTTTTTTTTTAATCCTTCTTTATCTGCTTTTTTTATTTTTAAATGACTGATTACCATTTCGCAGACCAGTAAGTAATACATAAATTCAAAATGATGACATGATTATGAATTGTAATTTCACCATTCACAGAATTTCGTTTGAAATGTCAAACTTTATCTTCTTCTTGTCCTGCCTTGTTTGCTTCGTGATGCAAGCGGTCAAATTGTTTTTCCGGGAAAAAGCATCTGCTTTTTTACTTCGCTGTCTTCCTTCTGTTGCCTTCCCGAACGAAAGCAACACTATTCAAAACAATAGCGACAACAATGACAACAACACCAACAACAACAACAACAAAAAAAACAACAACATCAACAACAAAGAAAGCATTGATGACATTTGCTGGGCTCCTGCTTGTCCTGCCCCCACCATTTCGCCTTCGGTTGTAGAGCAAACTGGAGATTGTTTTTTCTCCCTTCTGCCGGCCCCTGTTTCTCTTTCTCCCCCCGTATGAACACGGTTTGTTTGTCTCTGGACTGCGCTCGCTCTTTTGGTGCTGGGTGCACTGCTTTGGGCTTCTCGGTCGCTGCTTCTCCCCGCCAAGAAAGAGGTAAATGTATGGTTGATTCGTTCTCTTGGCCCTCTTGTACGGAATCCGAAGTACTGGGTTTTATAACTGATCGGGTTGATGTTGAGCGCTGGGCTTTAGTTTGTCAAGCAATAACCGAAGCTTGGCTGGCCGGAAATTCTTCGTCTGTCGGTTTTTTGGCTGTGGTAGAAGCCGGAGCAGTTGAAAATGTCTGGGCTGCTCCCGTTGATGCTCCCGTTGCTTCCGTCGTTGCTCCTGTTGCTCCCGTCGTTGCTCCTGTTGCTCCTGTTGCACCTGTTGCTTTTGTTGCTCCCGTTGCTTCCGTTGCTCCCGTTGTGTCTGTCTCTCCCGTTGCTCCTGTTGCGCCTTCCTCTCCCGTTGCTCCCGTTGTGCTTGTCTCTCCCGTTGCTGCCGTTGCTCCTGTCTCTTCCGTTGCTTTCGTTGCACCTGTCTCGCATTCTTCGGCAGACAGTTTGCCTTCGTCTTTCTCTTGTCTGTCTTTGGGAGTAGACGATATGGAAATTGATTCTGCTGTGTCTGGTGTTGACTCTTTCTGGTCTTTGACCTTTTCGTCGTCTTCTTTCTTGTTTCCTCTCTTGGAACAAGATAATGACGTTTCCCCTTCCGCTGCTGTTGCTCGGGCCCTTGCGCCTTTTGCTGCTGGTGGCGCTTTGTTGTCTGGTTCTGTTCCTTTGTCTCCTTTTCCTACTGAGCCTGCTTTGGCAGGTGAAATGGACCTTGAGGAGGTTAACCCTGTCACTGCTGTAGGTAGTGCGGTTGATCCTGTTGCTCCCGTTGAGCGTGTCTCTGACGTTGCTTTCGTTTTTCCTTTTTCGCCTTCTTCGGCCGGCTGTTTGCCTTTGTCTCTCTCTTGTCCTTCTTTGGGAGGTGACAGTATGGAAATTGATCCTGTTATGTCTGGAGTTGGTTCTTTCTGGTCTTTGACCTTTTCGTCGTCTTCTTTCTTGTTTCCTCTCTTGGAACAAGATAGTGACGTTTCCCCTTCCGCTGCTGTTGCTCGGGCCCTTGCGCCTTTTGCTGCTGGTGGCGCTTTGTTGTCTGGTTCCTTGTCTTTGTCCCTTTGTCCTGTCGAGCCTTCTTTGGCAGATGAAATGGACCTTGACGAGGTTGAACCTGCGTCTGCTGTGGGTAGTTCAGTTGCTCCTGTTCCTTTCGGAGGTGGTGTTTGTGGCTCCTCTTCTTTGTGGGCGGCCGGCGAGCCACATTACGCCGAGTTTAAGTCTGTCGTGCCTGTTGGGGTCGACTTTGGGTTTTCTGGTCGTACGTGAGCGTTTGCTCAAGAAATAAATTTTTTATTTTGTCTTAATTATCAGTCTTTTATTTCCATTTTAATAATTTCGGCAGCCATTGGGAATAACAATGCAAAATGTATGGACATTATCATGGAAATGTTACTATTAGACTTAGAAAATGACGGTAATCTAAGGGGCAGATACTTTCGAAGAATATTGACACAGGATTATACTTCTCTTTAGCATGTTGGGTTTTTATAAATATAAAGAAAAATGGAGGAATGGCGAAAAAAAAGTTCATTCGAATTGAGTACTCCACCATGGTACGATAACTCTAGTTCTCAAATAACTGTCAAAAAATGCATTCCGTAAACAAATTCTGTTCCGATGTCATTTCTCTCTTTGCCATTTCTAATCTACTTCGTAAAGCGAAACATTAAGTCACTAGATGTTGGTGCTTTTTTCAACTTTTTGAACATTAAGTTAAATAAAAAACTTTGTCATTGTTCAAAATTAATTACTTTGACCTTAGTCTTGTTTTTTGAAGTAAATGTTTTTCTATTTGCATTTTACCGTGGTTTTTTACGAAAACAAAATTGTCTCGTGTCAAAAATAATAGGTTTTTTAAGCACGCACAAGTACTTGTATGATTCCTTTGTATACTTATTATTTACGCATGAACATTCAACTGGCGAGAGGCAAATATTGCCGTCCCATACATTATCATGTTACCATTAAATTCCCGAATTCTGTTATGGGGCGGAAGTATGTCGCTGACGACGTGTTCCCAATGTGGAATTATCTTGTAGCTATGTCATATAGTTCTTTAAGGGTCCTCACAAGCAACAAAATTAATTTTTTAAAGATCCCGATTAAGGACTTCTTTATTTTTTTTTTTTTTTTGTGAAAGGTTACTTCAGACGTCCAAAAGAAAGCTTTTTCCAAAATCCATGACGTTGCTTTTTAATGACCCTTTTTGAACGATTAAAATATAAAGTTCACTCAAAATGCTAACCTATCTGTTATTATTTTTCAGGGACTCTGTTGTTTCGATATACTTTTTATTTCCAGAGAAAATAAAATGAACCTATCTCAAATTGTTACAGTAGTTGCTGAATCGCAATAAATTTTATTTGGACTTGATGATGATATAAATATGATTATGGAATCAGACATTTCTACACTTTACCGATAACAAAGTCTCCACTACAGTTTTATTGCATTCTCGATGTTGCCTGTTCCTTCAGATCGTGAAACTCCCAGTGTTGAAGAGGTGCACTGCCAGTAGAATTAGCATTGTCTCGTCTGGTTCTGAACGTATCACAGAGGCTAATCCACTTGTTATTCGTCTCTGCAAAGTCCCTTCTACCGTTGATAGCGTCACTGGCATTAAAAGCATCTTTCGTTGGCTTGTTCAAGTTCAGCTTTGTTTGAGGTGAGCGAATAACACCCACGTTTACAACGTAGTCGGAAAACAACTCGATCAAAACGTTGGTGCTTGCTGAATCCCATATGACAAAGTTAACGGTAGTGTACTTTTGGAAAGGCATTTTGTTAAATAAATTGGATAATTAAGAATTGGTAAAGAAAAATGAAGAGGATCACATACAAAACTCTTTTATCAAAAAAACCAAAACAAAAACATTGGTAAGTTCAGTAGCCCAATTTGGCTGATTTTTCATCTGATAGAAGGATTCTGAGGTCGTTGGATTTTAATCCTTTATTGGGATATTTCGAAAATTTTGGCACTGGAGAAAATTCCATGTTATTGTTAATCGACTATATATATCCATTTAATTTTTATTCATCTATTTGGCAAAATTGTAACCTTTCACAAAAAAAAAAAAATAATAAAGTCCTTAATCGGGATCTTTAAAAAAATAATTTTGCTGCTTGTGAGAGCCCTAACTTGGGCAAATCTATACATGGTTTTTTTTTGCTGACAATATACTCATTTCATAAATACCATCGTAGAATTAGGAAAACATTTGGTAATGAAGATATGCTATAAGCTTATCTTTAGAGAGTTTCTGATAACGTTCTGCGGTAACAGTCATGAAATGGGTCGTATCCTATAATTCGTAGATATCTAATTTAAACTGTACGTAAAATACTCCTCGAATTTCAAAAAAATCAAACATAATATTGATCCTATGTATTCTAAAGGGAGAAAAAAGGTACTTATGAAGGATAAAAAAAATATGTCCCAGCAATGGGTAATTTAAAGGGTGATGAAAGTGAAATTTGTTTAAGAATTAATACGGTCATGATTTTCTACACAGTCATTGGTTGGATCTACTACCATGCTTATATGAGTTCACATAATGACTGTTTTTGTAATCTCCTTAAAAACATTATTTACAAAAAATTATTTATTAGGGAAAAGTAAAAGGGAGAAGTAAAAAAGAAAAAAAAGTTAATTATCCGCATGCTTTTTTGCAACATGCTTTTTTAAATTTTCGGCGCGAGTGTACTTTGATTCGCAATAATTGCAACTGTATGTTTTTAACTGTTGATGTACAGTCTTGTTATGTCTTTGTAAATGCGAACTGCGATCGAAAGACATGTTGCACTGTGAACATTGGTGATTTTTTAGTCTGTTTTTGTTATGTGTTCTTACATGTGTGTCCAAGTTATATTTTTTAGCGAACACATGTTGGCAAATTTCGCATTCATAGCCCACACTTGTTTTCTGCTTTTTGTTGGATTGAGTTTCCAAGGAAGAGACTTCTTTTCTTTTCTTTTCCGCCTTTGATGTTGATGCAGTTATTGGTTGTTCTTGCTCTTTCGGAACTCCTATGGTGGTTGCTCCCGTATCCTTGTTTTCTGGTTCAGTATTATCCCGTAGGGAAGGCAAAGAAGCATTAAAAAAATCTAATAACGATTTATCTGCCAGTGAGCTGGTTTCAGAGAAGTCTCCAGGAGACCAAGCAGGAAGGGAAGAATAATCCAACAAGTCCTGAACCTCCTCGGATGGAAGTTCCATACGAGAAGGCAAAAGACCTATTGAATTATTCAGCCCTTTACCGTACTCGACTCCTGGAAACAACTCATCCACCAATTCGGCATTGCAAGGAAAAACAGTGATGTCGTTATTGCTCATTTTGAATATTCCTGAAGAAAAACGAAAAAAAACCCCCGTCGGAACAAAAATATATTAGAAAATTTATTGCCTATCACGCTAAAAGAAAATTAATATTTTCCTATTGGCCGATAAGAAAATATTTTATTACGTCATATTTTTGTCTCCTACAGAGCATATGTGCTTTTGATTTTTGGGAAATCTAACTAAGACTTACCGGATTACATTTTTACACCGACTTAATGACCAAGTTTTTTTCATAGCCGGACAGTGGAATGAGCATTTGCATAATTAAGGGAACAATCTGTTATCTTATTGTGGAAATGTTGCCATGTCATTTTAAGAGAAAAATGTAAAAGCTCGATTTAGAATTCGTCATGGGAGTTGTCTTCTGTTGATTGTATTGTAGTCGTGCTTGAAATATATACGTCTGTCTATTAAATATTGTTAATCTCTGCAATTTCAAACGCAATGCTACAAAGATTCAGTAATAGAATGGGTGAAAGGACAATGTACATAACTGTTGAAATTTCAAATACTATACGTTTCAGCGTATTGTTCAATAAACCGAAAACTTAGCATTAAGCCTAGATGAATGTCTACCTTTTAGAGGCTTTGCGTTTTCAATTTTGTAATTACTCCTGAATGTGATGAAACGTACATACTGAAAAGAAAGACAACCAAAAGAGGAAAGAACGTACATCAGATGTTAATGAAGTATTGAAAAAGCATGTATTTGACAAGGAATTGTTTATTTGGAACCTTAAACCACGTAGTGTTCTGTACATGGCAATGCTGTTTATATAACCATAATCGCTACGAACAACCCGAATTTTTTAAATAAACCGTTCTTAAGGACGCGCAGGGTAACTAATATAAGCGACCAAATAATCTAGAAATGCATTAAGGGAGGATTAAATAGCGCTATTTTGGAGACAGGTCGTGTATACCCAACCATGGTCGACGCATACTACGAGAATATATCCATAATTAACTACCGATTTATGGCTGGACCCTAAAAAAGCGTTCATGCAGTCATTCAGCCATTTATTTGTCAGCACCTTGTCATCTACGTGTCAGCCATAATTATAGGTGGTACACACCAAAAGGTTTTTTTGTAGATTTGTTTGTACACAAAGCTGGATCAAAACATTCCCCTACAAGAATGGGAGATGGAGGGTTTGGGGGAGCAAAAACATTGATAGTTCAATAATCTCTATTTATTTATCGGCATCACTTTTGACCGTGCCAAAAAAAAAAATTGTTTGTGAAGAATCTGTGATTATTTCGAATAAAAAAATTAATTAAAAAATCAAATTTGTAACTTTGTAAAAGGACCAGACTGTGAATTGATTACTTTATTAAAAGATAGACAAATTACTCTTTTTAAATAGCTTGCTATAGCAGGAGAAACAATATTATAACATGGGTTGATAATATATGATGTGACATATAGAGACTTAGTTCACTACAATAATTTATCATCATTCATGCATAAATTATGACAATATTATTTTATAGTGTGAAGTCTGACTACTGTGAAAAGGAGCTATGTCTCTGGGCCACCACAGTTTACTCTGGGTGGGTGTGTTTTAAATTCTTTTGCGGGGATATAATATAGAAGGTTTATCTGTGAAAAGGTTGACCTTGATTTATGTGCAAATTTCTTAAATGGTATTTGAGCATTATTTTTTACTTAAAGTAAAAACAAAATACAAATAACGTCGACAATTGTTTTTTAATTTTCAGATTTTCAAGACAATTCCAAACAGTTGTTGTTAACCATGAGAATTATCTATATGAAACATGCATGTCACGTATGTTTGAAAGAATTAGAAAGTTTGTTTGATTTACGTCGCCATATTTCAACCATCCAAAACAAGTCAATGCCGCCTAAAGATACAGACGGCAACAAAACAAAGTCATTAAATGGAATAATCATTATAACTGAAAGCGCACCAATTGCTGTCCCGTATCGTGTTTGCCTGTCTCTCTGGACATTCCACTCTGGTTTTGAATCGTTAAAGAAGCATATGGCTATTCACAAAACCCAAAGCGACGTAGCTAGCATTTCTATTAAAACTAGAAAATGCTTCGTTTTCTTTCGCAATGGGTCTAGAGCGTTACATCAACCAAGGGTGCCGAAAGGTTCAAGCAGATATTTTTTGACATTGTGACCTGTTGCGACCATCATTAATTCGTACAGTGAGCTTTTATTGTCAGAGCAAAAACCACTTGCAAGACAGCAAAATGTGGACAAGCCAATATCGTGTCTTTGAAACAATATCCAACATTTTACAATATGCTAAATCAGGCCTTGGATGTGGAATTGTCAAACTTGCCTCGTTTCCTTTGTTCATTTGCACAGCCAGGTAATATTGCGACCTACCCTATAATCTTGATGAAAGTGATTCTGTTTGTTTTAGCCGATGTTTGTAGCGAATGGCATAGTCATGAGTATTACCAGTCAAGGTATGAACATACGTATTAAATTGTTATAGTTATCCGAATCCTTCAATTTTTCAGCGACCATAGGCAATTACTTGGTTTCCAATGGTGTGAAATTCCTATCAAAGAACACGTTGAATTTACAATTGATCCTTATTCATGGATACGAACTGCTACTGTTAAGTATCACGATGGTCTAAGCTACGACATGAATGGATATAGTCGTCGCATTATGTAAGGATCGAGCAAAATATCGCCCAGGAGAATATCGGACAACATCAGGAGGATACAATCAAATCTTTGCGTTAATTTATTGAAATTTTGAAAGCATTCGTACGTCGTCACGCTGCTGCTTCGTTTTCGAGACTTTTTACGGTTTTATGATTTTATCTGCACCACAATTACTGTATCCACCACGGAAATGGACTTTATCAGGATTGGCGGCTATAAGCAAACCAAAGTACGGCATGCGGATGTTCCAAATACCTTCAATAATTGCGTATCATGGATGGAAGTGTTTGAGCTTATGGCGTATCTGTTTACATTCCTACAAGAGCAAGAAACGATAATGCAAACGATTAAAAAAAGAAAAGTCGTTGAGGGTCTTGTTAAGTATACCGATCGTGCATTACATATTTCAAATGAGATCAAAGACCGACCTATTTCATGAACGAAGTGTTATTATTTCAACGTATTATACCTCGTTTACCTTTTTTACTATACCAGGTTTGACGAACTAGATAATAAATGAAGTATGTACTAAGACCCTACTTTTCTGTGTATCCGTGTTATTCACTTTCCCTTTTTTTTTGGCTTCTACTTTTATGTCGACATCAAACTCTTCGATGGATTGTATTTCCGAAGAAGGTTTGTTCTGACAAGCGTTTTAAGATCAGTTAATTTTTTGAAATGGTACGAGGACGTATCGTGATATGCTCTTGCGTTATCGCCTTTATCGTCAAATATACTTCCTCCTTTATGTTCGCTCTAACAGGCTATTTAAGAATCCATACTCAAATCAAAAAAGAAGCAACACTAAGAGTTACGATAAACGGTTTACAAGATAAATTTATTAAGTGGCCAATTGAGTCTTAAAAAAATGACCAATTGGAGTCCAGAAAAGTGACCGAGTGATCTTCGGAAAAGTTACAAAGTGAAACTCAAAAAGTGTCCAATGAAGGCTCAAAGAAGTGACCAATTGAAATTAAAGGTGACCAAGTTTTTCAAAAAACAGACCAATTGTTGGCAAAAATAATGTATAAGAACTTCTAACAAAATAAAAAAGATAAACGTAATCAGTATGGTGTTTTTATAGAATTTTACTTATGCAATGGGGGTGTTTATACAATTTTAAAAAAACGAACAACGGAGGGGGTTAATGGTGTAGAGGAAAAGAGTAAGGAATTGACAAAGAAAAAAAAAGGGGCAATAAGGTAACAAATAAAGTCAATTCGTTATCCTCATCCTTCTTTTTAACTTTCTTTCTACGTTTTTTAACTCGTACAAAACAAGCAGCGCAGTAGTTGCCGAAATGATTTTTTTGATTGCCAATGAACTGTTTTCCTAAGTCTTGTCAGTTGTGACCTGTGATTAAAAAACATATGGCAATCATTGCAGGCGAAAGGTATTAATCGACGTTCGAAATGTCTTTGCAATTGTGTGTCGAAGTTATATTTTTTTGCCAACACCCATTCACAAGTTCGGCGATTGTAGCCAGCTTTATTTTTTTGTTTTTTGCTTTTTTCCGTTCCATAAGAAGATATATTTTTTCTTTAGATGGCTGTTGGAGAAGAAGTAGCCCGTTTAGTGGTTGATGATATGGATGATTTTACAGCCGATGACATTACTGAATGAAACGCGGCAGTCATTTGGGTCGGTGATCGTCATGTTTTGGTTTCTTTTACCAGAGAACTGGCTACCGGTGCGGGGAGGAACTTTAATCAAAATGCTCGAAACATAAACCTTCCTGTAACGAGCAGCCGTCAAAGTTGTTTCTAGGATACCAAGCATGCAAAGTTGAACACTGCAACAGGTCCTGAGCCTAATCGGATAGTGGATTCAAATGGGAAATCGCAAGACCTATTGAGTCATTTAGCACTTTGCCATACGCAAAATTACATAAAAAACTTTCGATGTCCTTCATGCTGTTCATGCTTAATATTCGTAATAAAAAAGAAAGAAAGAAAAGAATAACCTCGCTGGTAGTTTTCTTTTTATTTATCTATCGCGCTCAAAACCAAATTAATCCATTCCTACTGGGCTATTACAGACAGTAACTTTAAAGGTGGTTTTGGAGAAAGGTTCTGTTGGACTTTGGGACATCCTCAGTACTTGATTCAGGCGGGCATATATATATTTTACTCGTTAGCCGTCAAAGTAGAATCTGGTTCACTATATTTTTTTCACGCTCTAATCGGGACTCAGCTTAAAAGATTTGCTATGACTACATTTGCAATCAGTATAAATTACGAAAGTGCCTAAATACCTATGAAGTTAAGTTTTATTGACTAATTTCTCGAAGTTTTCAGAATACCTATAATTGACCAATTACGACGGTACATATGAATTTGCCTGTAATGTCTTCCAAAATTGAAAAACACTTTCTGGAAACAGCATATTTTTGAACTTCCAAAATATTTGACATTGAAAAAAAATTGAACAAACAATTTCGGAGCCAAACAAAACTAACATTTTTTTTGTCCATTCATGGTATCCTATAAAGCTACTATAAATCTTCAGAATCTGCAGTGATGGCGAAAGAAATAACAATATTCAAAATGCTTCTATGGTAAGTCTTACAATAGGATTCAAATCCGCATTTTGATGCCAATTCGTATAATAATTAGGTCTGGACAACGTTTTGTTGTTAGTTTCCTTCAATTAATTTTTCAATGATACCGAATAAGGTTAAGAGTAGTCGGGTTGAGCTAAGTATCAAAGACAGGGTAATCGACAAAAGAAAAGACATAAGAGGAGCAGCTTGAAAAACAAACAGCTTCCAAAAGTGACAGTCAGGAAAGGGAACCGAATGGGAAAATAGTGGTGACAAAAAGTAACGGCGAGGTAAACGAGCGGTAGAAAAATTCAGCGTCCGACCAAGTATTGACAGAGATTGTCAGTAACTGACAGGACAGACAGACGAGTAATTGTTTACAAGGACAAAGACGTAACTGATAATTATTATAATCATTATAAGGAAGATAGATAGAGAAAGAATAAAAGAGGATAGATAGTTACTAGATAATATATCTGATGACGATGAAAGAAGAGGGACAGTTCGGTTTTATTTAGAGTAAAAGAAATGTATAGTTTTTTAACTCAAAAATAAGTACTGAAAATGTTTACTATGTCATGACTTATTTGTGACAGATTTGATGATTGATGGCGGATACGTAGATGACAGAGTACTGACAAAGAATTGTCTTAACTAATTCATTTACGTGCCACAATAATGACATGTAAGATAAACTGTCATAAAATTGTATAGTGAGAAAAAGGAACTGTATCAAAATGGTACAGCAGGATAAGAACTGGTAGAGAAAAAGAAGAAACGCAAATCTTAATTTATTTTTGTACATTATTATTATCCCGTGTGCTATCAGTTTCAATATGGCGGATATCGCATTTGAACTTTTTTGCACCTTCAGAATTGTTTTTAATCAAGGCATGCGACAGCGAAGTGGTTTTGTACAAAAAAAAAGTTTTCACAACTGGCAGGGTATTGCTTTTTTCTTTCTTTTTTTTTGCTGTAAAAAACCACCAGAAGAACAAAGGTCCCTTTCTCTTTTTTCGGTTGTTTTCGTTGGAACAAAGTCTGTCGCAGTTTCCGTGGGTGTTAATGATTCTCTGTATGCAAATGAGACTGGTTATACTGGGATTACAAATAAGATTGCAGCGGTACCGAAATTTTTTACGGTCGTGATAAAATTCAAGGCTGCAATGGCCAACTAATAAGGAGCGACTACCGTTGAAGAACTCATAAATGTTAATTATGTACTTCGAGTACCAGAGACATCATTTAAATCTGCAGCTGTAAATCAGCTTCCTTGTTTTTTTTATGGCAAAGTCCATAAAGTACAAATTTGAAACAGTACACCGAAGAAATTATGCCGAAAACCAGCACAAAAAGAGGAAGAAGAAAAAAAGGTGAAAAAGGAAAGGCAAAAAAACCAATAGAGGTAAAAAAAGAAGAAAAGAATAAAAGTAGAGAAAATATATTTGCCTTTATTGTCTATTGCAAGACAAAAAATTTCGGCGAATTATTGTAGCGAAATATCACAAATGCTGCATTGAATAAGAGGGATTTTATTTTAGTTACTAAATAGAAGACTCAATGTATTTGTTACCCCAAAGACAATGCCTTATTGAGAGGTTATTGACATAAGGCTATCACAACCTTTACGTTTCTATAAAAAACGTTTCAAAATCGGCTTTTCCCTGATATATTTAACATTTGGATAAGTATCCATCAAAAATCTGGTCTACTCAAATACGTATCGTAACTGTTGTGTTTTAAGGTAAAGTAAAATTATAAAAAGACTATAGGAGTAGTTTGAGACTGTTTATAAGATTGTCCTTTATTAATAAATGAAATGTACGAGTATTTATATAAAAGACTGTCTGCTGTGTTCATATCTCTAGTGCTATCTTGAAGTTATCATTGATTAACCAAAAATGTATACGATTATAACATAGTCACTAATTTAGTCTTGTTCTAATAAATGTTAAGTCTTCTTAACTCTCTTTGCTTTAAACTAAATTTTAAGTATTTCTCAGACGTACTAAATTAGACTTGTGATGTAATATCCTTATAGTTCTTACTATGACATTTATTGTTAAGCTTATATCACAAATGGTATCAGCATGGATAAACCTTTGTTAGCTCTAATATGGCTATAGCCTTGCTAGGTCACCACAGTAACGATTAAATGATGTTAAGCTCGTCCATGTATTTTGAGATTACGAACTAAGCGCATGTTTAGCGATTGCACAATAAACTGGAATTAATAATACAAATTGCATTAAATTTTGTTAATTTAAAGATGTACCAATCATTATACGATGACCATTTAGAAACTGGGCAATAACAGTCGCCATGTATCAATTTATGATCTTCCTCCGTATTCTCATATATTTCTACTGTTTGTTGCAATCAGTTTTTTCCTTTTTTTTTTTTTTTTGAAGAAAACAATCTCAGAAAAACAATTGGGGAAACCAAAGATTGTTAATATTGGTATAATTGGAATGAGGTGAAAGTCAGGATTATACTTTCTTTCGTTTGTTTATTAAAAACAGAAAAAAGAACTTGGTTTGAACGACATGAAAGATAATATCTCATTGCTTGGAATGAAAGAGCGAATTCTGCTCCATTGCCAAATTTCAATGTTCCAACTCTATACCTCTCTTGCAGACCTTCTCCCGGCTTTCTAATGACTGTGACATCAGTTGTACCTCTTCCAAGTCTGAACATCGGCTCATCAGATAAATTGCAAACTCCCACAGTTTAGAAGACCAAATCACCTTATCCTCACGCCACAAAAGTCTCTTTTTCTTTTGGACATCCGTAAGAAGGGGTACTTCAGCGATTTTACATTGGTAGACCCCATTTCCTTGATGCATTTGCGGTATGTCGCCAAAGATACCTCCAAACCTGTCGTGACCGCGGCCTTCCAATTATCAGTATAGTTGTTAACTGGATTGCGACGGATGGCAATTCTTAAATGAGTTTCCTGTTCGATGGAAATGTTCTTCTGAGCCCCGTTTCTCATGGATGGCAACGGGGAGTTGGCTTTAGTATGCAGATTTATAGCATCCCTAACGGTCTCTTTAGGGATAAGAAACTGACTGCCAATCTCCGCAAACCATCCTCCCGACTCCCATGCACCGACTAAACGTCCATATTCAACGGGGCCAAGTTCATTATGATTGGAATAATAATGTTGTTCATGATTCTGTAATTTGTAATAGCTTTCATTTAGTAAAATGGGGATAAAAGTGCAATCAAAAAGGATAAGGTTATGGTTCAAGTTTATTAAAAAAAAAGGTTCGGAGAGTTTCAATTGTCCGTCACGGTATGTTCTTTAACAACGGACCAGTAGCAGAACGAGACGTTTTAAAACTCTGAAAGTGCTAATGTAACATTAGTAAATGGGCATGTGTAATTTTGGGCTGTTCTCAGGACTTTACTGGCTCTATGTATAATGTCAAGCGCCTCTATGAATATCCCTGTTTTGCATGATCCTCGAATTTTTATGCAGTCTAAATATTTGTAAACAAGGCATTCGGAAATGTTTCTTCTCTGTATTTCTTTAAATCCACATCTACCTCACTTTTACTATCCACAGACGGGAACCGTTTTTTTACACCGGCATAACTCATTGCAAATAAATCAAATATCTTTTTCGGATCGATGGTCCTTAACCCGACAGAGGACTCTGAAGTCAAATATCTTTACTATGATCATCAAATCATAAAATAAGTTCCACATATATTTCTTCTTATTCACGTTGAAACTCGTATCATCATAATGCTCTTTTAATCGCACAATAGGACTCCCCTCAAATTGAAAAAATGACTGTTTTCCTACTTGACAAAATGTTTTTTATAAGATTCTCAGTATTTTTCGAAAATGTATGTTCGCACCTTGTCACCTTTGCAAAAAGGAAGTATGATATTATAAAACATTGTCTTAACAACATTTTTGGTTTCTCTTATTTTCTCTGGCTCAATTAGAAGGGTTACGACTATGTTTTGCAATGTTGTATTAACATAAACTACATATGCATGTTGCTGGCTCACATTAGGCCTCGCTGAACATTTCATTAGCAGATCATGAAGGGATGTCTGAATCTGCCAAAAACGGCTAGTCTACATAGTGCTTTCTGATGTTGTTGTTGGGAATATTACACAATTAAAGGATGTGCGCCTTACAACAAACTCGAGTTGCTCTTCGTATTTTAGGCCCTAAGTTCATCTCGTAATTACTCTGCTTTCATTTGAGTTCTTGCAATAATGTCGAAATCGGCTATTGTGATTGTTAAATAAAAAGAGAATGGGCGGAACTCATGTAGTTCAATTGTTTGTATCTATTAATTTAGTTATTATGCTTTGTAGATATGATCTTCATTTTTTTCACCATTTAAGAAAGGACAATTGCCACGATTTCAATAGTTAATTAGGGCGTGGCAAAAAACGTTTTTATTTACATTGTGACTTTTTAAATACTACCTATATTTTTTTGTACCATACATAGGGATAATGAAATTGCAAGTTAGTCTTATAGGAAACTGAAATTATTTGGTAAATTGATTAGAGAATTTGCTGTTCACGACTTTCCTTTTATCACAGATACTATGTAATACTTAACAGCTAATCTCAATTCTTTTTGTTTATACCTTTTTACATTTGCTATTCATGTAAGTGGTATGTATCACGGACGACGATTTAAGTTTTGATACATCCCTATACTGCGAAGTTTTACAACATAAACCATAGGTTATTCAGGTGGCCTTTAAACCCTCAGTGCTACCTTCTACTGCAAACATGTTCTATATACGGATTTCTCCCAGACGTAGATAAAAAATAAACCAAATCGTAGCAGATGCTTTTTTTCTTATTTTATTGTTCATTTTTATTTTAACCGGAAAAATTTATAAGAAGTGATGAAGACACAAACATGAATATATAGTAAACAAGCCGAAGATAGAAAAAGTTTTTATTTTTTGTGGACATTTGTGTTATGTCGCTTGAGATCTGATTTGCGGTCGAAACCGCGATCACATTCGGCACAAGGATATTTTTTTACACGATTGGGATCATGTAATACAATGTGAGTTTGCAAATTGTATTTGCGATTACTCAAAAAGTTGCAAAACGGACAAGCAAATTCTTTTTTTTGTTTTTTCTTTTGTTCGGTTTCCAAGGAAACAGAAGAAGATGCTTTCCTTTTGTTGGTTTTGGTGGTAATTACTGCTACCGTGGCTGTTGTTGTATCTGTTGATGTTACAGAGGATGATGCTGTAGCTGTAGGCAATATTGGCGTACAGGAGTTGTCTGCAGCGGGTAGAGCAGGCATGGCTGTTCCAGCCAACTGCTCAAGAGTCTTCACTATTGAAATATCCAATAGTTGCAACTCATGAACAGTTGACTGATCCAAGCCATGTCCATACTCGCCGCTACAGATCAACTCCTTACTGATGTCGCATTGATTTTCAGAAAACAAGATTTCACCGTTATTGTACATTGTAAAAACTTTAGTGAAAAAAGGGAGAAAAAGAGGAGGGAAAATTTTCATGTTTTGTTTCTAATGTAGAACGATAATTAAAGACCAGTCGATTCCGATTGGCCGATAAGAAACCGCTGTCGGAATAAAATCAGTAGCCTATTTTTTTTTTGGAAATAGTGAGGGATGAACAGAGGAATCTGTCCGATGCAGATCCCATTGGCATGTCTGGAGTGGATTCAACCGACATTCATTAGTTTTATTTAAGACAAATTATTGTTATCACTATTTTGCTATTGACTTGAAATGAACTGAGTAGGCTATCATAAGCAAGTTAAGTTTAACTTATTCGCATTGAGTCTACAGGTTAATGGAACTTAAACTGTTTTAAGCTTATGATTTTGTCGCTGTACGTTTGAAAATCGTGTTATATCAGATTCAATCCAAGCAAGAACAATTCTTTCCTTGCAGTTGCAATGGTATAAAACGCCGTTATAATTAGGTTGCAGGATATCTAAAACCGGAATTTACACTTAATCTATATATCACAAAAAGGTCGTAGTAATTCCTGATTATTATCTACTTTTAAAATAACGCTAAAATAATAACCCTGATCTGTCTTAATTATGAGTGTTACAAAATTTTAACTTATAAAGATATTTCAACCGAAGCAGGTTGTCGTGTGTTGTCTAACATTTCCCTATCCCTACAGATAAAAAATGTGTAACTTCTAAAAAACTACAAGTTAAAAGATTAACTTTTTAACATTGGGGATCACTCAATACTGCATCTAGCTTTATGATGCAAAAATAAAAATATGTTTATGATAAAAGTATGCATAGCCTTCAGAAATGGAATGCACCAACGTTGTTAGGTCGGGGCAATTTTTGTACTTTACGAGTATTCTTGGTTATAATAACAACAGAAGAATTTCCCTAGCGTTGTTGTCAAAAAGTCAAAGAGTGATGATTTTGGTCGTTGTCAATCCAAGAAATAAAAATCGGTTATACAGTGAGTGGACAAAACTGTTCGAGTGTTTTTAAAAAGCTTCATTTCCTTTTATTTCGATATCATAAATGGATACAAAAAATCCACCAAAATTACGTACAATAGTAAATTGACTATTACAAATAAAAATTGGTTTTATTTAAACTCAGTCCCATTTTTGGTGTAACGAAAATTACATAAAATGTTATGGACACTCGAACAGTTTTGTCCAATGGAAAATTTTACGACTAATATTTTGTTTTTCCTCCTTTAGCCTTGATAACCGCTTCAATCCTTTTTAGCATAGATATTATAAGGTCTTGACACAACTTTGGGGTAATTTTGTCCCATTCCTGGGTGATCCGGTCGAATAGCTCGATTAAGCTTTTTGGGGCCGTTTCGTAGGCGCAAAGTCGTTTTTTTATTATCGCCCAGAGATTCTCGATCGGATTTAGATCTGGGGAATATGAGGGCCAATCTAACACGCGTACATCATTGTTTTGAAACCAGTTTGTTGCCATTTTGGAGGTATGTTTTGGGTCATTATCCTGCTGAAATACGACATCCTTGATATTTCGATTGTAGTAACTAACACTGGCCGTTAGATCTTCGCTCAAAATATCACAGTATCACTTGCTATCCATAGTACTATCGATACGAACAATGTATCCAGGACCTTCCCAGAGAAAACAACCCCACAACATTATGTTTCCACCGCCATGCTTATACAAATGTTGAAGATGACAATCTCGGATCTCTTCGTCTGTGCCATTCCAAAACCACTGAGCCCCGTCAGAGCCAATACGGTTTATTTTCGTTTCGTCACTAAAAACAACATTCTTCCAATCATCAACAGTCCAGTTTTGGTGGACCTTGGCCCAAGAAAGTCTCGCCTTTTTACGGCTTGGTGTTAATAGCAGTACTTTAGGCTTATGTTCAGCTTTCATCTTGGCTGAATTCCACATGCCGCGAACAGTCCTTCCGCAGACAAAATTTCTTCCTTTTTTAGAGCCTCGACAGCATCCTTGACAGTCTTGTTCACATTTGTTTTGAAGCCTCTAATCAATGAGCGGCCTGTTGATGTTGAAATCTTGCGAGATGCTCCACCAATTTTTTTTGAATGTCAAGATTATCTTGTTTTTTTATTTTTGCCATGGTTGACAAACTAACAGACACTTTTTTGCTATTTCTCAAAAAGAAAGCCCGTCGTTTAGTAATTTAAAGATCTCCTTTTTTAATGTCAAAGAAATGCTTTTTGTCATCTTAATGAGTAAAGTCTTGTATTACGAAAATAAAGAGAAAAAAATAACATGTGTACTAGGCACCAAAACCTGTCTGAAATTTTTTTTTGGGGCTTATATGACTGTTTTTTCGAAAGATTTTTACGGTTTTCTAAAAAATTTCAGCATTGGACATAACTGTTCGAGTGATAAGCAGTTTTAAACCCAGAATATCCGCTGTTCTTGTGACACAAAAAATTCAAAAACGTTATTGCTGGTGTAGCAACGCGTGCACTGATATCTGTCAAAATTTGAAATTATTTCGAGGAGTTTACACATTGTTGACAAAGATGGGACTGAAACTTTTTAAACACTCGAACAGTTTTGTCCACTCACTGTATCACTTCCAACTTGCACTACAATCAACTGGTACACTTTAACTGAGCAAGTACTTTGCTATTTCAGATAGAGGATCTCTAAAAGCATCCGGTTTTCCATCGTTTTACATTAGTGAGAAGATACGGCTTGATCTATTTTTTTTAATACCAAAACTTTATTCTATTGATTAGTCACGGATGAGGAGAAATCTTACGTTACTCAAATTCATAAACTTGTTATTATAATTTGTTTTTTGGAATATAAAAGTAATTGATGAATCATTTGTTTTTGGTTCAGATGCTAGTTACCAAGTATTACTTTATGATTCCTTGTGACAATGTTCTTGGCTAATGCCAAATCATTTTTGTATGGAGAGGAGCGCAGGAATTCCAAGCTTAGTTGCAAAATTGTAAATATTTGGCCGGCAGACACTGTTATAGGATTAGCGAAGACAAACAGATGTTAACTACTAAAATTTATTTATAAATGGCTTTGGCGATATCTCTTCTATCTTTTTCTAAACTTTGTGTGTAATAAGCTTGTGCAGCCTAGGCGATCTTTCTTGGAATTGGCAGAATTGCAACTGATCCCCAATTACTTAAAACTGTGTACCTGTCGGGACGTGGATATTTTATGAGGAGTTACAAACTAGGTGAGTTAACAGGATATATTTATGTATTTTGTAAGTTATATTTAAGCAAAGAAATAATTGTAATATTGGTCGGGAAAAGGGGAAAGATATAAAAGAAAAGGGATGAAAAACCGAAACAATGGCGAAAGAAAGCGGAAAAAAAAAGCATTAATTGTTCGCGTGCTTCTTCTCGACATGCTTTCGCAGATTGTTGGCCCGGGTATATCGATTTCCACAATGAAGGCAGACGTGACATTTTGTTTTCTCGTGTACTGTTGTTGTATGTCTTGCTAAATGGGATTTTCTCGCAAACGACATACTGCAATCAGTACAACTGAAGCCTTTTACCCTGTTTTTGTCATGTGTTTTGATGTGAGTATCTAAATTATATTTTTTTTGAAAACCCCATTGACAAATAGGGCATTGGTAGCCATTAACTGTTTTTTGTTTTTTTGGTTCTTCTGGTCGAGAAGAAGAGTCGGATTTTCGTTTTGTGGCCTTTGTGCTGGACGTGGCTATTTTATTGGTGATTGTTGTTGATGTTGCTCTAACCTCAACAGATAAATCGTCCAGTACATCCGTGTTTCTTTCCGATGACACGCGTATTTCTTCGTCTTCTGCCAATACAAATTCTACTTGAGACGGTACGGAAGACAAGTTAAAAAATTTAAAAATCGAATCGTATTCAAGTGCGCTGCCGTCTGAGGGGTCCCCAGGAGACCAAGCAGGATGGGTTGAATAATCCAACAGGTCTTGAACTTCCTCAGTTGGTGGTTCGAAACGAGAAAGCGCAAAACCTATCGAATTATTCAACCCTTTGCCATACTCGACTCCTGGAAAAAGCGCGTCCGACAACGCCTCATCAATGGGAAAAACCTCAATGTTCTCCATTATGCTCGTTCCAACTGATCCTGAGAAAAAGAAAGAAAAAAGGGAAGAAAATATTACTGCTCTAAAATTTTAACTCTTACTACCTATTAGCACTGAAGCAAAATCATCAAATTCCGATTGGAAGATAAGAGACACTGACTTTTAAGTTTTTTTCTGGCAAGTACTCAACATGTCACAGCATTACTCAAGATCTTTCAAAATAAAAGTCTAGCCGTTTTATTTTCCGCTAATTATAAAACGAAAAGAAAGTCGAGACATATCGAACGAAACAAATGACCTGAATAATTGGTCAGAAGCATGTTAATTTTCAGTAAGTTAAGATGCCGCGCCTTTCTAGAAAAGTAATTGTATGTTATGGAATCTTCATTCTATGAAATCTCGTTTCTTAGCCTATATCTTTAAAACTATTGAATTTTTTTGTGGCTGTATTTAGGCCTTTTCAGAGGTCACATTCTACTACCCCAAGTGTTAAGATCCAGTTGTGCAGAAAAGGTTATGGAAAGAGACCTATTTTGTCAATTATTCCCATTCGTAATTTGCAAAGTTTAGGGAAATTAACCAATTGGTCATTCGTCCCCTACGAATCTCCCTTTCCCGAAGTCTACATCACTTGTAGTTTGGTAAAAGACTCAGATTCTTACTCTATTATAGATGAAGGCACTGAAGCTATGAAGCAAACTGTATTCTTCACATATGGCATCGTTTGTGGTCCCGAAAGAGACAAAACGGTTATTTTTTGAAACGTCATAGATTGGCCGTAGACAGTGCAGGACATCACTAGGAAATCATTCGAACGAAATCATTGACTCCGAATTATTATTCGAAGAAAATGATTTGTAGCGCAGTTAGTATATCGGCAATAACATAATTAAAAAATGTTAATGAAGGGAAATGGCAGCTAACCATCCAGAAATGACTGATTGTTGAATGAATGAGGTTGATGAAAAATTCATTCCTTCGATGCATATATCCGTTAAATTTATATATTGCGCCGTATCCTGTTGTATTTGCCAGATAAAATACTTTAACTCAGAGATAAAAAAATACGAAAAAACAATGTTTGAGAAGGTCATTCAATTTTCGAATATAAGGCCTTACCAATAGACCCACTTTAAAAATTATTAGGAAAGGCTATAACAACACAAGCAGCACAAGCCTTCTTTGTAATGTTACATTCCGAAAAATACATACTTCTTACAATCAAACTATGCATGGAAGAACGTTATAAGAAGGCGAAGAAAACCTCCGGGAAAGGAAAAATAAAGTCGAAGAGCAGGCGGCAAGGAGAAGGCACCTAGTAGAAAGGAAGAGACAAAGAGTTTATAGTCTCTAGGCCTCTTCGTGTCTTATTTTCGATTATAGTTGTAACTGTAGATCGAGTATTTAAAAGGTTTTACAAGGTCTGGATCAGGGGTTGCGACATGTCGTATCATATGCCAATTTTATGGGCGCACGGGCTGATAAACTGCTCAGGAGAATCCATAGTTGGTTTCAGCTATTATTTGATTTTCTAAAAAGGAACCAAAATCTTTCGTTCGGTCGATGTTGTTGCCTTTGCTATTAATGCGTCCTTCATTGATAGAGCTGCCTCCTCTAGAGTTACTGGCATTGATGTGGATGTATCTGTATCTGCTGACGATATGGATTTAAAGGTAGCATTAACAGAGCTGTCTGCATTAGGCAGAGCACGAAGGACATATGAGACAAGAAATATAAAGCTTCCATCAACGTCATTTGTTTTAGCCTCTTACATCTTGATGGATCATCCACAATAGATGCCGTGTTACAGTCATTTTGGCTGCCATCATATTTATTCGGGCTGTTCGCACCCAAGATAGCTTTGTAGATACTGTATTTGGGATTCTAATCCTGCCAACCGTGTTGTAATAGTGACTAGATGCTCCCCGAATATCAAGACACCCAAACAAGATTGTACGTACCCTGGGTTTAAGTCTGACACAAAGTTAAACGTATCTTATTCGTAATTAGTAAGCTTTGATTTTTCTAATTTATAGGCATTCAGTGATGTAGGATGCAAGGCAAATGCAATGGAATAATTTCCGGCCCTCTTATGTCACTCTTCGATGATTCCGATCCTACGTTCAAAATGATATAGGTTCATACTGTTGTAATATCGTCTCCTGTAATTAACGTTATAGGCCAGACTTTGGAATATTATCTAAGCTCACATTACTCCGAACCGCATTAAAATATGAAGTGAGATTGAGATAATCAAAGCCTTCAATGTTTGTTTTCCTTGATAAAGTTTTTGTATTAACTATGGATATTTCTCAAACATGCAGCGTAAGTTCGTGTATTATTAAAGATTACGATGATACGGCCCGACACTTTCCAGAATACCTGACAGTTTTTTTATTTTTTGAACAGCGTTTGCCAAATGCCCAAACTCCGTTTTTTAGGTCCTTTGAGTGTCAAGTCCGTTAGTTGTACTTGTATTACCAATTCCTTTCCTTTGAGACAGTTGTGCCAAACCTTTTTAAACAAAAAAGGACAGTCGTTTACTTTTGTCATGTTCATATTATCTAACTCTGATTGTTTTAATAACTTTTTCCCTCGCTGACCTTTGAATTAGTATGTTGACATTAAAACTTTTGCAGGAATGTCGCCTTTGGTCAATTGTGATATAATAGACAGGAAACAGTTAAAACAAATAGTATATTTGGTGTAAATTCTGTCTTTTATTTCCGCTTATATGTTTCGTGAGAACATTATGCGTTTAAGCTACCCTTTTAAAAAAAACATTCCATGACATCATTAGTAAGTTACTACATTGCAATGAACAGAATTGTGGACATTTGTATTTGTTTTCCTACCAATCATTGAATAATCAGCATCATTAAGAAAAGCCGTAAAACTTGAAGTTAGCGAATTGCTCAACATTGACGGTCTAACGAAATGATGACATTATATCATTGTTAGTATCTTTATTCATTGCAAGATTTTATGAAATGCTAACAATCAAAGTTTTTTTTACTATGACTTCGTTCACCCTCGAACGTCATATTTTAGATATTGGCAAGGGACAGCAAGCAATACAATACATTGTCCAAGATCCATATTATGCAATTTTTTTGTTCATATACTATACGATCTATGGTTGATAAACCTCTCGAACAGGTTTTTTTAAAACAGAGGCAATACTCATAACGTTTCGTCGAAAAGTAATACCAGGAAAACATACAGAAGATGATATTTTTGCTATTGCCACCTTAATTTTTGGGTTTACGACAAAATAAAGAAGGAAAATCAATAGAGACAGAAGTGTGAAGAAACATAAGATTGGTATAAATAAAAAAAAATCCTTTATTATTTTTTATGGACATTTGTGTTATGCCGCTTAAGGTCCGCTTTACGGTCGAAAGCACGAATACAATCCGTACATTGGTATTGTTTTACACGATTTTGATTGTGTAATACAGCATGAGTTTGCAAGTTGTATTTTCTGTTACAAACATAGTTGCAGAAAGAACAAGCAAACTTATTTTTTTGTTTTTTTCTGGGTTGTTCCTCCGAGGAAACAGAAGAAGACCCCTTCCTTTTATTTGTGGTGGTGACTGTTGAGGCTGTCGCTATTACGAAGGCTGATGCTGACGGGGTTGTAGTTGTAGGTGCTGTTGCCCTTACCTCAGTGGGAGCAAGGGTGTGAGTAGCCGGCTGAGCAGGAATGGCGGTCTCAGCCAAATGGTCTGTGTCAGCCACTGTTGGTATATCCAACAGTGGTAGCACAAGACCAGTTGACTGATCCAGTCCACTATCAAACTCACCGGTACAGAAAAAGTCTTTGATGATGTTGCTTTGTTCATCCGAAAAATACATTTCGTTGTCGTTCATTGCAAAAACTTTAAGGAAAAAGGAGAGAAAAAAAGAGAAAAAAAGTTTCCGGGTCTTATTGCTTATTGAGAAAAATTAGTATATTTTCCTAAATTCCGATTGGAAGATAAGAGGTGCGGTAATTTAAAGCTTTGCACACAAAAATCACGTCATATGAGAAAAGAGATATACTGGAACAAAAAATTGACGTGGCCTAATCCAGAAATCATAAATAAAAACCTCCTACTAATATGCCTTTTTTTGATAGCTTTCAAATGGCATTTTTATTATTACATTTAGAGTGATGGTAGAAAACCAGCGCAAGTATGCAATTTTTTATATGTTTTATTACGATCTACATGTTAACGGTTGGTGAATTCCGGGAGTGATCAAATTTGTAATCTTGCTATAAAGTGTGACTTAAACCTGAATATAAATCCTTCGGTGTAGCGTTTTGATGCAGTCATCTGATAGGACGCAAGCATTAATACGGCGAAATATATCATAGCTTCAAGGGATAACATAATTTTCGACAAAATTGTTTTTCTTGGGGATACTTTGCTATCAATATAAAACGAGTCCCAAAAATTACCAATCCAAAAATAATTTCATTGCTAGTTGGAACATAAAATTAAAAAGAAAGATCAGAGAACGGTCTAGAAAGACTACCCTAATAGGTGGCAGGACTATTCGAATACTTTACTAATTGCTGCAAATAAAATAATCCAAAATATGACTCAATGACCTAATCGAATCAACAATTCGCAGATATAGTATTACACATAGTATTGTATGTAATAGACACAAGTAAAAGATAGTAGGTATATGTATGCAATTCCCAAAAAAAAACAATCAAAACTGGTTTTTCAAATCTTTATCTACACGGAGAAGATTTCTAAACACTGGGAAAGGGGAAACGCAGAAAAAGGAATCCAAACGAATGAAAAAGAAATAAACTGTTGTCATGGTTTTGCAATCTGCTTTGGAAGATTGTCAGACGGGGTATTGTTCGGCGTAGTAACTACAGCAATACTCTTTGAATTTTGGGATGGTTTTTGGTTATATCTGGTCATTTGGAATTTCTGTTCAAATGAGATTCTGTAGTCAATACAGTAGTTGTTTATAAGAATTTTTTTTTTGTCTTTTTTATTGGTTTCCGGACTGTAATTTTTAGTAAGTACTCATTAGGGCCTCTCAGGTAGAATTTTTTAAATGGAAAATCCAGTTCTTTTTTATTTCCCAAAATGAAAATAAGTGCATTCAAGATAAAAGTCGAAAACCTGATCAACCCTTTTTGGGTGTAAACAGCTGTGGTATTTTGTTACGACTCACTTAAGAATAATAAAATTATAACTTTAAATTAATAAAAAACGAAAGCATATCGACCTTGGATGTTGCCTATCAGCATACGCTTGTATATTGCTATAAACGTACGCCTACCATGAGTACATACTTCTGTATTAACGATTACATATCTGTCGTAATTAAATTGTATAAAAATGACTGTAGGTGTCAGGAAAGAGGGAGGAACGAGACAGGCAGGACAGGACAGAGAACGAATAGCTTCTTGGAGCAGGTTTTTTATTTAAGAATAAAAGGTAGAAAAGAAAGAAGATGATCATGAAATACATATATCTGATGAAGAACACTAGGAGAAGTGAAATTTATCAGCTATATTTATAGAGAAAGAAAAACAAGAAACAAAATAAAATAATAAGCAATGAAAAAATTTGTCATAGCTTATGTGGATCATGACAAAGGATTTAAATAGCTGACAGATCAATGATAAATATTGAGTCTGAAAGCTGGTTACTCATAAACCATATTTGTGGCATAAGATGTAACATGATCATGACAGTTGGATACGAGTGCTACACCATTAACGTACGATGTTACTGATCGAGAAGACAATATTGTCGGATAAAATTAAGGATGATACGAAAGAGGGACCTAATATAAATATTTCCGTTAATGTATTAGATCCCCATGGAGAGAATGGTACAACTATTAATATAAATGGTTTATTTACGTAGCAGTTGTAAAATGTATCCAAATGATAAAATGTATATAAAAAAAGTGTATGGATTAATGAATACCTATTTTTTTTAGAACTAAATGTACAGGTCTCGATAACATATTCTATATCTGGGATGTTATTTTATTCGTTAGAAAGACAATGTTCAAATGATCATCAAAATCGTATTTATTCTACTGCCAATTATACTTGATAAACGAGTATGCATCTTTTATAGTAACGGTTGCATCAGTTCAAAAAACAAGTGAATCGTAACACTACATATTTTTTATAAAACTTGTGCTCCCGATCTACTTATATAAAACAACAGTACTTGTAAACAATTCAACCCAGTAGTTTTTATCTAACCAAAGGGAGGAAACAAAGTATAGACCTATACCAAAATCAGGAAAGATACTTCAATCAGAGAGATTTAGGAACGTTGTGCAATGTAAAAAGAATCTATTGTTTTGCAGAACCAAATTTCTTAAAGTCTATCTTTATCACCGATTAAGCTCTATTTTAAACTTACTATCTTTCAAGCATATTATTTTGTCAAATACCAAGCTAGCAGTCGAATCTCAGACGCAATGTGTAATGATCGATGAACTTGTATATATTATGCTTGGGATAGGACAAAAAAGTACATGTAAATCCTAGTGCTATTAAACAGGTCTTATCAGATAGGCATATAATGATTACATCCGAGGTCCAGGTAGAATCGTTTATTGCCAACAGTAATTAATTAGTATCCAGCTGCCACCATGTATTGGCTGATCGCTCGTTCTATGTTTGCAAACGGATATACGACACAAAAGAAAATCATTACTAAAAAAATGGTGAAACCTCATAACGATCCCAAAAGGTTTCATAATGGATATTTAGTTTGAATGATCCAGCAACCAAATTGGAGATGCTGTAAGACGCCTTGCTATCACATGTGTCCGTCCGAAGTCAAATGGTCATTTAAGTGCTGTCTTGGAAATGCTATTTGGTTTATACCCTTTTTTTACTGGATGTCATTATGGAGGATGTGTCTTATCGCAGATGAAATATTTAGAAACTCTTTCCTAAAAATTCCTGTAAGCGCCGACAAAAACCACCAAAAATTACGTGGACGTATATAATCGTTTTTTAGTGTAATGGTAGAGCCTAGGATTAAAAATATACGCAAAATCGCAAAAAAGACCTCGCAGTTTGCGATGAAGGAAAAAATATTTAAAATGCTAAACATTTTGTTGAGCGCGTACAAAGAGTAGTATTCGGAAACTCTAAAAATTAGGTATGACGGGAAAAGCCTATCTGTCCCAGTTTACGCTAATATAGGAGCTGTAAAATTTGTGAATATCGTATATTGAATAATTGTTATACTTTGAAGTGAAAATAAAATAAAACAAAAAAAGGCAGACACTAGAATATGTTACAAATTATTTGTATTTAACAAGTTACTTATTTAGGAAAGTGTAACCGAAAGGGAGAGGGGAGAAAAAATAAAAAAACTGGTTAATTGTATACATCTTTGCGATATGCTCTCTTAGGTTATCCACGCGAGGGTACTTTGACTTGCATTGATTGCAGCTTTGTTTTTTTATCGGTTGATGGCCAGTTTGGTAACGTCTTTTTAAGTGCTAGCCGCAAACGAAAGACATATTACAATCTGCGGAACGGTTGTTTTTGGCTTTATTTGTATCATTGGTTCCTGGATGGGTATCCCAAACGTATTTTCTTGAAAACACTTGCTGACAAATGAGGCACACGAATCCAGTGGTTGTTTTTCATTTTTTGGTGACCTGTGGATCAGAACACGAAATTGTTTTTCTTTTGTTTCCTGGAGCCTACATTGATGTTGGTACAAGCTCTCCCAGTTTTGGAGATGTGGCTTCTTTTGTTTCCTCACTGCCCGTTAGTTTCCAAAAGTTTTAACTCTGGCACAGGCGGCAAAGAAGGGTTGAAAAACTAAAAATTGATTCATCTTGCAATGAACTGGTTTCAGTGAGGCCTCCGACAGGACAAGCGGGAGCGGAAGAATAATCCAACATGTCCTGCACCTCCTCCAATGAAAGTTCCATACGAGAAAGTGTTCGACCAATTGAAGTACTGAACCCTTTACCGTATTCGACTAAGGGGAAAAACTCATCCGCTAGTTCAGCATTGCAAGGAATAGGAGTAATGTGGTAAATGCTCATTTTGAATATTGTTCAAGAAAAAGAGAACAAAAAAGCACCGGCCGGCACACGAATGCATGGGAAAATGAAATGCCTATCACTCACAATAAAATTAATTAGTTCCTATTGGCCGATACAAAAAAAAAATGTTACGTCATACTTATATTTCCTCTGAAGGCTATGGCCGTCTGATTCTTGAAGGATTTAAATAAGACTTTAAGGCATTAAATTTTAATACCGAGTTAATATGAGACCAAGTTTTGTTTTTAACCGGACGGTGGGATGAGCACTGGGTCAATTAACGAGAAAAGCTGCCATGTTATGGGGATAATGTCGCCATGTCATGTTGAAACCAAAAATGTACAGGGCTCAATTTGCGATTCAATGTGTGAGTTGTCTTTGTAATTGTATTGTAGTCGCACTTGCTATAGTGGAGCAAGTATACTATATATAGTTCATCTCGGTAATTTCAAACTCATTGCTTCCATGAATCGCTTACAGAATGACTGAAATGACAATGTGAATGACTGCGGATATGTCAGGTACCGCAAATTCTTCCGTATTGTTTACTGAAATGAATGTTTCCAAATAAACAGGAAGAAAAGTCGGTCTTTGGAAGGCATTGTGTTTGTAGTTTTTTAAGTACTCTTGCATGTAATAGATCATATCTAACGAAAAGAAAGACAGTCAAGAGAGGAAATCATGTAAATCGGACCTAACTGGACTTTCACCAAAGCATTGATTTGACATGGAACTGTTCATTTGTAACCTTCAACATGCAATGTTTGGTAGATGACTATGGGGTAGGTGTAATCATAATGACTTCCCATAACCCAAACGTTTTTAACTCACCGTTTGTAGGAGACGACGAGGAGTAATGCAGGCAAACAAATGATCCAGAAATGCATTGAGGGAGCATTACATAGCGCTAACTAGCAAAGAGGTTGTGAATGCCGTACCATGGTTGACTCATGTTACGAGAATATATTAAAAAATAGTCGTTGATCGATTGCTGAACCCTATAAGTAAACGTTAACACAGTCGTTCAGCTATTTTTTGGACAACACCTTGTCATGTACGTGTCACTCATCAACCGAGAAGTTTCTATCATAAAAATGTAATGACTTACTCAACTTTGTCATTGTTCATTTTAAAGCTAATTAACGTTACGATCCTTTTACTTTGAATGTGACCTAACTTTCCCTCTTATTTCTTCCCCTTTATCAGATATATTATCTAGTAGCCCTTACTCCTCTTTCCTTCTTTCTCTCTCTCTCTTTCCATCTCTCTTTCCATCTCTCTTTCTTATAATAAATATAATAATTATCCTTTATTTCTCTGTTCTTGTAGACAAGTATAGTTCTTTCCGTCTTTCCCGCCTGTCCGCTCTTTAGACAGTGACGTCCAAAGCATTTCTATATTTGATAAAAATATTAAAGATTGTCCTAAGGGTTGAACCAGGTTAATAAAGTATATTTTGTTCGGTTCGTTTGCATTTCGGATTATGCCCGTATTATAAATTAATTTTTGAACAATAATATACCTCTTCGCCGTAAGAAAAGATTTCTTGAATATGAATCAAGTTTTTTGTGAGTGCACGAATATTCAGTTCTTATTGTAACGATGCTTGGTTGTCTTTTGTCTATATATTTATATGTTTTGTTTTAACATCAAGCAGTCCTAACTCTCCAACACAACTATGTTAAATCTAAAATAAATAATAGACGATCATGTAAATGTTTACGTTGAATTTCATAGTGTAAGGCACTGACCATTGAATTGTTGTTTCACGGGCCACGCAAACCGTTACAAAATTAATGTAAATCACTTTATATAAGCCAATGATTTTTAAACATTTACTTCTTTGCGTTAAGTCTTTAACTGACACAACATGTGCGTTATACGAATTTCAAATAAAAAAACCGTTAATGTTAATCCATACTGTGTTTTTAACCACTTTATTGATGGAATGGGGATATTAATACAATTGTAAAAAAAAAAAAGGGAGCGGGTACATTGTGTAGTGAAAGGAGCAAGGGACCGGCAAAGAAACAAATGGGGTTCAGAAGTGAAAAAAACAATTAATTACTCGCATGCTTCTTTTTAACATGCTTTCGAAGATTTGCAACCCGGGTAAACGGAGTAGCGCAGCGGTTACAGACATGATCTTTTGATTGCTCATGTAGTGTTTTGCCATGTCTTGTCAGATGTGACTTTCGATTAAAAGACATATGGCAGTCAGCGCAAGCAAAAGGTTTTACTCGACTTTGTAAATGTGTTTGCAAATGTGTGTCGAGGTTGAATGTTTTTGCAATCACCCCTTCGCAAGTTAAACATTTGTAATTATCGTTTTTTTTGTTTTTTGTTTTCTTCCGTTCCAGAAGAAGAAACGTTTTTTCTTATGATGACTGTTGTTGAAGATGCAGCCGTTGCAGAGGTTGATGTTTTGGATATTGCTGCAGCCGATGACCTTACTGCATGCAGCGCTTCAGTCATTTTGGTGGGTGATGGTGATGTCTCGTTCTCTTTTATTAGAGAACTGGTTAACGGAACGGGAGAGGCACTCAAATCGAAAAGTTCAAAATATAAATTATCATGTAATGAGCAGTTGTCAAAGTTGTCTCCAGGAGACCAAGCAGGCAGAGTTGAACAATCCAATAGGTCCTGAGCCTCCTCAGATGGTGGATCCAAATGAGAAAGCGCAAGGCCTATTGAGTTATTCAACCCTTTGCCTTATCCACTCCCGGAAACAGTTCCTCCGACAACGTAACATTACAAGGAAAAATACAAAGTCATTCATGCCACTCATTCCTAATGTTTATATTATTAAAAAAGATAAAAAATAATAACATCGATGGTAGTCTGATTTTTGTTTGACTATCTGGCTTAAAACCAAATTAATGCATTCCTATTGGCCGATAAGATAAAATGTGTTTTAAGGGGGTTTAGGGAGAAGCTCATTTGGTGTTAGGGACATAGTCAGAATTTGATTCAAGCGGGAATACAACCAGTTGACTCATTTTCTATCAAAGTAGAATCAAGTTCAATATAATTTTGGTCACGCTCCAATTGAAATCCAGCTTTAAACATTAGCGGTGACTGCGATGACCATAACTACAAATTAGCAACGTGCCTAAATAACTATAAAGTTCCTTGTGATTGACCAATTAGGAGGGTACCTGTATATTTCAATATAACATCTTCCAGAAATAAAAAATACTTTCTGGAGAAAGCAAATTTTAATACTTCTGAAATATTTAAAACAGAAAAAAAAAATTGAACAGAACATTTGAGAACCAAACAAAATTGACATTTTTTTGCCTTCATGGTATCCTATAAAGTTACTATATATCCACAAAATCTGCAGTGATGCAGAAGAAATAACAATTTAAAAATGCTCATATTGTACGCCATACAAAGGGATTTAAATTCGCTTTTTTGATGGCAGTTGATAAAATATATAGATCTTCGTGCCTATGTGTTATTTGGTTCTGTTTAGTAATTTCTCATCGCCATTTAGTACCGTTAAGATTAGAGTGGTTGAACCCAATAAAGATGATATTAAAACCGATAAAATAAACGAGATAAGAAGAACATTTTGAAAAACAAAGGGCATCCCGAAGGGATCTTAAGGAAAACGAACGGCATGTTAAACACATGCAGATGATAGTAGCGTCAGATCAACGATTGAGTGTCATGATGATGTTACGTAGATGCCTTAATTTAAGTAGTTCGTTGTCAGCAGCTTTTCATCTACGTGTCAGCCATCGATCATAACGAATATGTCGCAAATAAGTAATGACTTATTAAACTTTGTAGTTGCCATTTTTAATCTAAATAACTATACAATGTTTTTATGTAATTAAATATAGCCTAATTTTATCTTTTCCGGATTACCCTTCATCAGATATATTATGAAATATCCCTCTGTACGTTTTTGCTGTCGCTTTCTGTTTCTTATCAAAAATGTAATAGTTGTCGATCACACTTCTGTTCTTGTACTCAAGTATGTTTCTATTGGTCCTGTCAACTAGTTCGCTCTTGCCATTAACAGCGGAAAAATTGTTAATTAAAAGGGACAGTGGCAAAGGGATCGACATCCAAATGGAACGGCAGAATACGAGCTGGGCGAGAAAAAAGAAAAAGAAAAAGGCACTATTTTTGTATGGGCTATTATATTGCAGTGTGCTATCTGAGTCACTGTCGAAAATCGTGCATTATGAAAGTTTTCCACCCTCTTGATTGTTAATCAACGTATGTGACAACGCATGGGTTTGGTAAAAAAATGAGGTTATTGCAATTCGTAAAGTTGGGCTTTTTCTCTTTTTTGTTTTCGTCTTTTCTAAAAGCCGTGAAATGAGGAAGTTACACTTTTCCTTTTTTGCCATTGCTTGGGATACAACATTTTCCATTGCATTTTTCGTGAATGCTATTTTTGTTGTTTATGAAGAATGACCGGTGACTGTGGAATTACAACTAAGATTGCAGCGCTAACGGGGTCTTATATAGTCGTGATACGATTCATGGCTAAAAAGGCTAACTAATTAGAATCTACCACTAATGTGTAATAGAAAGGTAGTAACTACGTAAGTTGACGGCCGGAGACAAATGCACACCTGTAGCTGTAAACCAGCATCTTGCCAATCTACTTTGTCAAAGGCAATAACGTACAAAAGTTAGTAGTGGTTCATGGACGAAATTATGCAAAAAAATAGCAAAAGAAGAAAAAAAAAGAAGAAAAAACGAAGTAAAAATAATGGAAGTTATGGAAAAAAAGAAAAAGTTAAAAATAGAAACCTGCCTTTATGGCGTATTGCAAAACAATTGATTTCACGAAATTCCTGTTCCGAGATATCCGAACCATTGACTTACATAGGAGGTATTGATTTTTCGGTTAAATAATGGAAACGTCAATGTAATTTGAAACCCCATCCACAATGCTTAACTGACAAAAATAGGTTTACAACAACCCCTTACTTTTATCTACATGTGATAGTTGAGGATAGAGATAAAACAATAAAATACTTTGAGACTGCTTATAAGTTTTATTTAAGAGTAAAAGTAAATTCAAAGATTCAGAGGGTTCTATTCTAACTATCAGTTTGCATATTTATATATGTTAAGAGAAATCGGATTATGAATTTAGTTTGATGGATAAGTTACACAGCACTAAAATAGTGCTTGTAGTTGGATATGATATAATGTATAAGAAAATAGTTCGTGTTGTGATGTAATAATGTATGGGGTGATGAAGTGAGATTTAATTTTAATATTGTTTTATGGTGTGATTAGTAACAACAGTAGGTGGATCACCACATTATCCCCACCCAGGTATTGACTAATACCGACAAAATTATGAAGATCTTTTAATTGTTCTTTATTTAGAGTTTTGACGATCATTCTTATTTTTAGTCGATTTATTTTTCTTTACCGGGCGAGAGCTTACTTTGTGATTTAAATCCTTCATCTCATTCAACTTACGTTTATTGGCTTTATTAATGGCTTTGATACTTTCAGGGGCTTCACCTATTCTTCTGTAATAATCAGAGATGAACTTTGGATCAGTAAAGTTTTCCTCAGGTTCCCAAGTATCATCAGCTTCATTGTAACCTAACCATCTACATCTATATTGCAGCTTATTATTATCATCTCTACGATGTCCTATTATGGCTTCCACTTCGAAGTATTGTTCCTGAGGGATAATTTTATCGGAGACAATTTTTAGGTTTGAAGGTGGGAAGTTCCTAGGCTCAATAAATCCTTTTTCATTTCTTAATACATATGTGCCAGCAGAAGTTTTTCTTACAACAGTGTAATATCCTTCATAGTTAGGATATAGCTTATTTTGCTTTTCTTGAATTAAGATCATTACTGTTGCACCAACTGGAATGTCAATTAACTTGTGGCTTGCATCAAACTTTTCCTTTTGTTTATCAGTGACTTTCTTTGTCTGCTCATAGATTGCAGGGTACACTATTTCTCTCATGAGTTTTATTTTGTTATGTAATTCCTTATTTGTTCTTTCCGTGGTTATTTTATCCGTTTCCTTTTTATAATCTGTAAAGTCATTTGGATTCCTTCCGAACATTAACGAGAATGGTGTACTTTTAGTTCGACTGTTATACTTGCAATTTAATTCCAACTGTGTAGACGCGACCATTATATCCCAGTCAGCAATATTTCCATTTATTTTCTTTTTTATGGTTTTCACAGCGGATTGCACAGCTCTTTCAGTAGCTCCATTAGATCTTGGATGATACTGCGAGATCAAAGCATGGTCAAACCCAATATTGCTTTTTATGCATGACATACACCTATTGACGAATTCGGTAGCCTTATCGCTTTGCAATTTTCTAAATGGGCCAAAGGTGCAGATTACTTCCAACACAACACTTGCAACAACCGCTGCCGTCTTATCAGGTATAGCTCTTAACACATAATATTTGGTTGCTATATCTATCATGACTAACAGATAATGATTGCCTCTTCTAGATGTTACAAATGGACCAGCCAAGTCAATTCCCCAACTGTCACCAGGAAGAGCAGCTAATACAGGTCTTAATGGATTGTAACCTTTTCGTGCTATGTTGTGTCGTTGACATGGAACACATGCCTTAATTAACTCATTTGCATCCTTCTTTAAATTAGACCAAAAAATGCCTTTACGTTTTAATGCATGTAATACGGCTTCGACTCCGAAATGTCCTTTAACGTGCTCAAGTTTTAATAGTTCGTCACGCTCTTGTTGAGTAGGAGGAGTGAAGTATTCACCACTGGTTTCGCTAGGTAATGGTTCCATAATTGCTGCTCTATTTCGCATGATGAATTTATCCCCACCCAGTTCATTTGATAGTGCATAATCGTCCTCAAAGAGTCTGGATAACGTGTCGGGTAAGACATTGGATATACCAGGCAAATGAACGATGTCAAAATCATACTGTAAGATGGTATCCATCCATGAGATCATCATGAGATTGGCAATTTTTTGGGTATGGAGATAGGTTAAAGCTTTATGATCAGTGTATAAGGTAAATTTAGATCCGTAGACATACTTATGAAATTTCTTTAACGAGAATACTAATGCGAGTAATTCTCTTTTCGTAGCTGAATATTTACGCTCACTTTTAGATAAACTCTTTGCGACGAATGAAATAAATTTCTTTGTACCATTAATTTCTTGATACAAAACTGCACCAATACCAGATAGAGAGGCATCACAACTTATAGAGAAGGGAGCATTCATGTCGGGAAAGGCTAATACAGTATCGCTTATAAGCGCTTTTTTCAAATTGTCAAAAGCTTTCTGATGGTTATCATTCCATAATTT